CTTCTGCTGATGCTCAGTTGGATGAAGAGTAAGTTTTAGATCAACGGCTAACGCCGCTTGTGCATCTTTGTTGGGGTTTCCTTCCGAAGCAAGCTTCAATATGATATCCACCTTGTTGTAGGGACATTGAAAATAGAGATGGTGCCATTGTAGAAATTCGTTAGTGGCATTGTTTCCTAAAGACTAATGGAAGTTGGGCTGACATGTTGTACATACTTCTATATATTCTAAAATCAATCACCAACGACATTGTTTCCTGAAGACTCTCAGAAGTGGTAGCCATGAAAGAGGAAACATAAGTATGAAATTGATTTTAGAATATATGGAAATGTGTATAACGTGTCAGCCCAACTCAATCTGACTTATTGAAAACAAGCCCAATAGTACATATATGGTGTTCGTGGAGTATTTGGTATGTTCTACACAAAGATCTACAAAGTCTAGTACATTTATGCTGAATTCAGATGATTCAAGTTGAGTTGGGCAATAGGCTAGTGTACTTTGAGCACATAACTGACAAAGTGAAAATAAATTATATATTTAAAAGAAGTAAATGTTTTAAATGAGTCAAGTTGAGCTGAGCCAACACGTTGTACAAACCAAACTCTTTCATAGAGCCACCGTCCAGCTAGACATTTTCACCATGGACCAGCACCACTGCGAAGCTGTCTCAGCCTTCTCCAAATCCCAGTTTCAGAAATTCCTCCATTGCCCCAGAAGCTTCCGAAGCATTCACGCCGGGATGTCTAAGATCAATCCTGAGGTCCTCAAATTCGTCATCGCTTCCGGCAATGCCTGTCTCAGCATTCCGAATCTAAAGAAATCATTTTCAGTGCCCTTTAATCGAAAGTTTGTCACTTTACGTATAGTGAGGTTTGGCATAGTTCCTAAGGATTAACGTTCAAGTGAAGTTTCGTCGACAATAAAAATAAATAAGCAAATGCTATAAAAAGTAAATATTATTAGGGAAAGTGAAGACTAACATCCGCTAAGAGGATCCACAAGCTGCTTCTACTGCTGCTCACTATGCTATTCGCCTTGTCGAGAGGGACATCGAAAACAGAGATGGTGTCGTTGTAGAAAATCGTCAATGACATTGTTTCCTAAAGACTCTTGAAAGCTAGGCTGACAAGTTGTACACACTTTTATATTTTCTAAAATCAATCGTTAGCGGCATTGTTTCCTAAAGGCTCTCAGAAGTGGCAGCTGCGAAAGAGGAAACAGAAGTATGAAATTGATTTTAGAATATATAAAAATGTGTACAACATGTCATCCCAGCTCAACTTGACTCATGTAAAACAAGCCCAATAGTACATTTATGTTGTGTTTGTTGAGTATTTGGGTACGTTCTACACCAAGATCTACAAAGTCTAGTACATTTATGCTGAATTTAAATGAGTCAAGTTGAGTTGGGCAAGAAGCTAGTGTACTCATAATTGACAAAATGAAAATAAATTGTATATTTTAAAGAAATAAATGTTTTAAACGAGTTAGGTTGAGCTGGGCTGACACGTTGTACTTGCCAAACTCTTTCACAGAGCCCATTCTTCGCCATGGACAAGCACCACCGCAATATTGCCTCCTCCTGCTCTAAATCCCAGTTGTAGAAATTCCTCCACCGCCCCAGAAGCTTCACTCTTCCATCTTATCTCACTGGAGCAAATATGTTATCTGAGCTAGGATCTCAAAGTAAGTGATTTTATAGATAATTAACGTTAAGATCGAGTGAAGCTCAATCAAATAGTCAGTTATGAAGTGGTTAGGAAGATATATTATGTTGCTATTCCTTGTTGTAATACTAATGACAAATTAGTGTGGGGAGCCTCAATGTCCGATGAGTTCACAATTAAGTCGGCTACTTGGTTACAAAATAGTACTTGTCAGCAATCGGTGGGACAAGTCTTTTTAAAGAGAATGTGTAATTTGAATATTCCCCCTAAATTAAAAGTGTGCTTCATCTCTGCACTAAAGCTTAAATCTTCCTCTTCTTAAATACATTTAGTGTAAAAATAATACTACTTTTACTCTCTATTTGTACTACATTCTTAATACCACATTATGTGGTAGTTAATGTGTACATCTACATAAATTATTCTGAATTTTAATTCACTTAAAAATATTAAAATTTGTCTTCTTCTTCTTCCCCAACACACTAAAATCTGCCCTCGTTTACGACTGCTTATCACTCGAATCCAAGGCTCAAGACTTCGTAAAGCTCAATCACCCCGATGTTCTATTGGTTTCGACAGATAGGCACCAATTGGGGTGCCAATTCATGAATAATGACCCCAATGCAATCAACATCTTGACGGTCATTTTGTTGTTTTATTAAATACATATTTTTTTTTTGGACAAACGATAACGTTAGTGAGTTAACTTGTCAAATGGTAGGGGGAAGGGGATTAGTGGGGATCAACTCGTACTAATGTGTATAGATATTATTGTTTTCCGTCACTGCAATAAAGTGCCATATGAATTAAGTAATATCCACGTGAATGTATTTGACCGTCAAATGGTGATTATATTAAATATATGTCATGTCCCGACCGAAATACGTCTAGGATCGACACTTAACATCAGCCTCTATCGGGACAACCACATAAAATCAAGCTAGATTCAATATTTCAATAATATATGTACACCAGCACCTATAAACAAAGTCAGTAGTTAACAGCGTAGCATCCTTTCATCTTATTTTATGATTATATCGAACCTTTATATTAGACTGTCAACGTACCATATGAAGGGATCAAATCAATCGTGGTTCACCATTTTGTTAAGCATCCAAAAATCTTGTATGTACAATAATTTCCAAAATTTCTCCTGGCCTTAACTAGCAATAAAACATAGAGTTACAAAACCACTCATTGGAACTTAACAAGGATGAGTCATTTCATCTTTCACATATATAACAATTATTTCCAACAACAATTTCAATTTCACCAACAAATACATTTCAAAAATGCCCTTGCCTGTAACATTTATTTCTTCTTCATTTTAACCCCGATTCACAAACGGTTTTCTCTTACGAACTCGTGAGATCGAGCTACATCAAAAAATAATAAGAGACCCTAAAAGGTATATGGATTTTTAATTATTATTTACGAAAAAAAATTGAACTTTAACTAAGAAATAAAAATTCAAAATTAACGAAATTAAAATGAATTCACAAAGTGAGGTACGATAATTGTACATCCGGGGACCAGATTTTACATCCTCTCCACCTTATAAAAATTTTGTCCCCCAAATATTCGGTGCCTATCACACTACAAGTAGCTCAAATAATAACAATGCTACATAAGCATAACAAAAGACTTTAAACTAACAAGTCATCCTCTTACGTTTAGTCTCATCTTAGCTACCCATGATGCTACCCAAAAGTTTTCTCCAACGTTAAGGTAAAGGTACAAGGACCTTCATTTCTAAGCTCTGATAATACTAAAAGTTGTCATGCCTTGATTTTGAGTTACGTCTAGGATCGACACATGATATAAGGTTGTATCGGAATAACCACATAAATTCAAGCTAGATTCAATATTATTGTCATATTTTCTGATATTGTTTCAACAATAATGTGGTATAAGATGTATGATTCAAATTAATAGTTGGTAAGAATAGCATTATGAAGAAGGGTGTTGTTATTGTTGCCACTCCAAAAATCTCATTATGCACTCCTCATAAATATATTTTGCTTTCTAAATATAGAATATTTGAAGTGCACAATGAAATTATTTTAGCATCGATAAGAGCTCCAAAGCATAATTATCGTATTGTCTATAAAAATAAAAATAAAAAATAAAAAAAATAAAAAAAAATAAAAAATAAAAAACTAGTTAGGGCAAAATTGGGCTAAAAACCTAGTTCGCTACAAGGTTAATAATGAGACAACACTTTACGTGCACTGCTCTAAAAATTCCCGCCTAGGTGGTTGGCAACAGCTTCGATTAATCTCTAGGCGTTTGAAAATTACGAAAGTGCACCTAGACACACTTAGGCGTCCGCCTAGCCCTCTTATACCCACCTAGGCACCCACCTAGGTCATGACTCTCACTTAGACAAAAAAATCAATAACCTTCATTTTGCATTTTAATTTTTCAATAAAATGTAAGAGACTTGTTATATACTTGGATGAACACTCAACATATGCTTGTTCCCCATGTTTATAATATGTTCTAACACTTTATAATTTATGTGTCATTTTATTTTACAATTTATGTATCTCAATATCATTATATGTGGTTTTTAAGGATAAATAGGCACTTATTTATACAATATATAATAAATTTACTTAAATCCGTCTAGCCACCTAGACGCTAGGCCCCAACTCGCCGCTCAACTAACGCCTAGTGTCTTTCAGAACCTTGTTTACGTGTTATGCAAGTTTCAAGGCAAGCTGAATTTAGAAACACTAATCTGTTGAAAGTCGTGTTGTAGAGTAGTAGAGTAGTCCTGAGTACACATAAAATAGAACCCATGTCAAATACAAGTGTTGGCTACTTTTGATGGTGTTATGGGGTTGCTGGGAATTTAGGTTTGGGAACTTTGATCATTAGGACCTCGCCAATGACTCAAAAGTTGATAGTTTTGTTGTTCAACAAAGTGAAGAAGATCATAGAAATTTAAAAAAGTGATACTAAGAGTCGAAAATCTTGGGTAAGAAATCATTAATTTGTCTATGAAAGTAATCATACCAAAATTTTGGGTACATGTCGATAGATGGAATTACTAATGTCTATCTATATTGTTTATAATTGTCTCTGTAAATTAAGACCTAGTAGTTATATGTTTAAGCTCAACAGTTTTACTTCACAGTTAGGCAAGAAAAGTTTGTACACCGAAGATTTCCTTTGCAGACTTTTTAACATATCAAAAAAGAATAAGGTAGGACTTTGAGGGCTTACTTTGTAGGGTTGAACAAAAAGATAACACAACCTTGCCCGATCTTCACATCCGTAAATTTTTTAATGAATGAATGATATGGGTTGGATTGATATGTTTGCCTTACCAATTCGACGGGTGCTTTCATCAGAAAGAGGGAAATAAATGTTATCATAATTGAAAACTTAAAACAAAATTGTCATCTATATATGGATAACACTTAATTATCCAAAAGATACAAACTATGATTCAGACAAAAAAACCTCCCTCCATGTTACTTCATCAATACCAAAATGAAGATTGGCGATCAAACTTTTTCTTCCCCTCCCTTCCCACATCAGACACACTCCTAAAGCCAACTTTCTCACCATGAGATCTACGAGGGCTAAGGTTAACCAACTTCGAGAACATTCCACTTGTCAAATTACCATCCGGCGCCTTCTCATAAAATTCATCTTCTTCATCATCTTCTGCATCACCTTCATCCCCAGATTCGAGCAGTGAACCCTTTTCTTCGATCGGAGGACAATCCCAAAGGTGTGATCCTTCACTATTTTCATTGGTTGCTAGGAAATTTGAAGCCTTGTCATAGTCATTGCTGCGCAGTCCGCTTGGTGAATATCTTTCCATGGCTTCCAATTTTGTGGGAGATGGCTCATATGACCTACTTAGCTCATTGATATCATTCCATACAGAACTTGTGGTAGAAAAAGAGCCAAAGGATGTTCTTGAGGCTTCGGAGGCCGATGAAGAGAAAGAAGTTGCGGATGAAGGAGAAGCCGTTGCACTTCCAAATCCTTGGATTTCATTTGTTATTTTGAGAGCTTTTAAACGTGCTTCTCTTAGGATTTGTCCTCCTCCTAGCAAGTTAAGTATTTGGTCTGATTTCTTTTGCATGCTAACACCCCAATTGAATCTATCGTGATTAAAAAAAAATTAAAATCAAAAGGTATAAAAAAATCAAAAATTTAATATTTCAAAGAAATCAATATAGACTATATGAAATTACCCTTTGTTATCTATGTATTTAAACGATCCAAGCTCTTGGATGACATAACTATCACGTTGAAATTCTTCAGCAAAATCTTCAGGGCCGTGTGTTAGTAAGAACTCCAGAAGTATTAATGCTTTGTAGGATTGCCTCCACTCTTTCCAATCTATGCTATATAACCTATATTATTTATTTTGTGCATATTAACCTTATGTTAAACCAAGAAATTATAGCATTAATATGCAATTTACAGTAGACACTTCTGGTTGATATAAGTTTAAACAAGAAGAAAATGATTACCTCCGATGCAGAATATCGACAATTCTCCAATAGTCATCCACGTCAAAGGAGGCATCGGCTATTTTAGTCATTGTCTTAGCATCAGGGCTACATGGATCATTATTTGTTGCTTCCTCAGCTAACCTTTATGACAAGATGGATCTCAAGGCATGTTAGGTTTTCTAGGGGGCCGGGTTGGGAACAAATGAAATAACATAATAAAAAAGGTGTAAAGAGAAAAGTACTTACAATTCAGTTGGAGAAACATCAGTAAAAGTCAGCCTAGCAATTTTGTATTTCTCCTGTACAAAATTAGATGCTTGCTTTTTGATATGATTCAAAAACAAGGTTCCCATAGCTGCCAATAAGTTCTTAAAAATTTGTAACCATGAACCCTAGTTTGAAACCCTAAACGAATTGGTAAGTTTAATGCTTATGCGCAAAATTTTGGTAACAATAATCCAATCACTAATGTCTAGTACCCCATATTAGAGGATAATTGAGGCCTCAAACTCAGTTCCCTAAATGTTTAAATTAAACCAAAGGTTTCTTAGTTTAGAAGAAAACTTTTTGAGGTAGAGGAGATTAGTATAGGATCAACTATTTCATGGGAAGCCATGATTATAGCTCAAATAGTGGAGGAGGGCTAGGGTACCCATTTTGAATGTGGGGGAAATTACAATTGACTAATATTGGAAATTTGACCGAATGTTACCCATAAATTTTTAACTATTTTGTTTAATTTTTCTGCTGAAAAATTATAAACTATATACATAATTTTTTTTTTTTTTTTTGGAAACAAACTATATACATAATTATAGTTATGACCCAAACATTATTCGTGCCTCGTTAGAGATTTCTAATTCTATCATTTTTCTATTTTTATTTTTATGCATAACTAAACTATTTCCCAAGTTTTTTTTTTAATTATTATTTGATTACATGCTATGTTTCACTTGCATGCAAATTCTAGTTTCAAATGACCCGATGACAGGCCATCATGAGAAACTTTGTTGATAGAGACTTAGATAAATCTAAGATGATGACCAATCAATTAGGTTTATTGAAACTAAGGTTAAAAACAATATATAAACTAGCAAGGATGACCCATCAAGAAAAATTTCTCTAAACGAGCTAGTTACAAGATTTATAAGCCGAACATAGTAAAGTTAAAACCTACTTGTTTCTTAAATGAGTCGAGCTCAAATTTGTTTTTTTCTATTACAATCGAGGGGAACTCAAATTTTTTTATATATATATATTAGAAGCACAAATTGCAAGGAAATGGCCACAGACGAGGTTGTGTATGGTTTGGTTGGTGGCTATCGGGTAGGTGGAGAGTTTGGCTCCTTTTGCTTTGAAAAGATAACATTGTTTTTTATTTTATTTTATTTTATTTTTAGTACAAAAGATAACATTGTTACATTAAAGGTTAAGTTCACTGTTAGATTAAACGTTAAGTTCATAGATAGCTGTCAAAAAATTAGAAAACAGACACCAAATCATAGACAACAAAACCGCAGCCCCTAGTATTATCCTTATCTTCAATCCTAAATACTATTTTTTTTTTTTTTTTTTGGTTGTTGTTGAGAAAAAGTACGATATTCATTGAAGATTGAAATACGTACAAATTAAGGATAAGGTGCTTACAATGGGTCTCGATAAAAACCTTGGCAGGGCTTTTAACCCGATCAAAGGGAAAAAAAGCGTCCCTCACCAAATTAACTACTGGTACTATCCCCTAATAATAAATCAGAAATTACATCAGGAGGTTCTTCAAACCAGGAAACAGGGTGATCAACAGTGAGACTAAACCTCGCTAAGTGGTGAGCCACCTTATTCGTTTCTCTTCAACCAAATGTGATTTGCCATTGCTTGAAGTCCTGCAAGAGCTACCTAGTATCGTCGAACATATGTCCATAATGACCACTAAACGCTGCACTTGCATTTTGAATTGCAGAAATCACTAACAATGCATCCCTTTTCCACCTGAACCTGCATCGTGACCCATCTGCGTAAGAAAACAGTCGCTGCATCTACATGCAACGCTGATCTCACGATGTTCTCCCTGCTTACTTGCGCTGCCAAAAACCGTCCCTCCGAGTTTCTCACTACCAACCCATAGCCTCCAATCGACCCCTACTCATCCCATGATGCATCAAAATTACATTTAATCCAACTAGAGGCTGGAGACTACCATTTATTTATTCTATCCGAGGAACAATGTGGTGCAACCTCATTCCATTTTTTATACTCCGCCAACCAATTTTGTGCTTTGATTTGTGTATCCAACGGATATGCCTCAACCCCATTCCAAAGAAAATTGTTACGAACCTTCCAAATACTCCAAATAAGTACCAGTAGTAGCTCAAAACTATCTTTGGACAAATTTTGCGCCATAAACTCCAACCAATGTCCAAATCCCTCCTCAATTTGATAAAATGAACAGATTCCCAACGGACTTCCAAACCACACCTCTGCCGCTCTAGGACACAATAGTAAAGCATGTTCTACAGTCTCTACCTCTTTATCACAAAACCCATAAGTATCCTCCATAATCGCCCGTTTGCTCTTCAAGTTAACTTTGGAAGGCAACGCATTCATAAACCTACGCCATACACAAATTTTCACTTTCCTCGGAACCTTAGCTCGCCACAAAGCTTAGGAATCGTGTGTCCACATTAATTGCCAAACCCATAAGCTCATCACCACTCATCCCCTGACACGATCGAGCCACAAAGTACGCATTTTTAATAGTGAATAGGCCCTTAGGTTCCTTAGCCCACATCAAAGAATTGGCACGGTAGAATAAGCTCCAGGGTATACTCAAAATCAAATTCGCTTCCTCCTCCAAGAACCAACTTCGAAATAAATTAGAGTTCCATCGAACTCCATCATCCTCCAACATCAGTGATCTCACCATGAGCTCTGGGTGCACCCCATTCGGTCTGGGGCTAAGCACTTTGTAATAATGTTATCGTGGCAGCCAGTTATCTCCCTATATATGAATCCGCAAGCCATCCCCTACCCTCCATCATATATCTCAACAAATAATAGACCTAGATGCCACCACATTACGCCAACAGTAGGACGAATTAGGTTTGACTGGAGCCTGTAAGAACTCAGAATTAGGGTAATACTAGGCTGCTGTAATAATCTCCACCCTTGCTTTGCAAACAAAGCAAGGTTAAACGCATATAGGTCTTTAAATCCTAAGCCACCTTCACTTTTCGGCTTACATAATCGTTGCCATTTCACCCAATGTATTCTCTGTTTCCCTCATTCTCTTCCCCACCAAAACTGAGCCACCATTTGGTTTAGTTCATCACAAAATGACTTAAGGAGCAAAAAAGTCTGCATCGTATACAATGGCATGGCCTGAACAACCGCTTTTATCAAGATCTCTTTCCCCAAACTACTCAACAATGAACCTTGGCAACCATGCAACTTTTTCCACAACCTATCTTTAATATAAGCAAATGCGTCTTTCTTGGACCTACCAATGAACACTGGTAAGCCAAGATATCGGTCGTGATACTCTACCCGTTCCATCCCTAGGCAATCTGCCAACAATTATGCATCCAACTCTGTAAGGTTCCGACTAAACGCCACACTGCTTTTGATGAGATTGACTGCTTGTCTAGACGCCTTTTCATATGTATGTAAGAGCTCCTTCACCTGCAAACACTCCTACAAAGAACTCCTGGCAAAAATAAAGCTATCATCCGCAAATAGCAAATAGTGAACACTTGGTGCACCTTTGCATACATGGACCCTTTGAATTTGGCCTTGTGCTTCCTATGAATCAAATAAAGCCGATAATCCCTCCGCGCTTAAAACAAAAAGAAACGGTGATAGCGGATCTCCTTGGCGGATTCCTCATTTCGGATAAACTAATCCTATAGGCTCTCCATTCAATTTAAACAAGTAAGATACCGTAGACACATACATCATTATCCATTGTATCCATTCCTCTGCAAATCCCAACCTTCTCATCATTTGCTCCAAGAAAGTCCATTTAAACGATCATAGGCTTTACTGATATCTAACTTCAATGCCATCACCCCATTCCACCCATTATTCTTCCTATGCATATAATGTGCAATCTCTGAGGCTACCAAACAATTGTTAGAAATTAGCCTTCCCTCTATAAAAACACTTTGCGATGGTGAAATAATTTACGGAAGAATGGCCTTCAGTTGGTTAATAAGAACCATTGAGCATATCTTGTAAATCATATTACAAGGACTGATTAGCCTAAGCTCAGTCATCGCTAAGGGATCAACTTTCTTCGGAATCAAGCTGACATAGGTATAGTTGATTTTATTAAGCATATGACCCGATGAAAAAATATGTCGAACCCCGTCACACACATCTTGGCCGACCGTCTCCTAATGCTTCTGATAAAAACCCAGTGACATACTGTCAGGTCCTGGCGCCTTAGTCGGGTGCATTTGAAACAACACCTCTTTAATTTCCTCATTGGATACCTGTCAAATAAGCTCCTGATTCATCTCAGCAGACACTTTGTGTGTCACCACCCTCATGATTTCCGACACATTTGTCTCACCTTGAGAATCAGACAATTTCGTGAAATAATCAACAATCACCATCTCCATACCCCTCTTATCTGCATGCCACACCCCGACCTCATCATACAATCTCGACAAAGCATTCCTACGCTATCTTTGATTAGCCTTCTGGTGAATTTTTTTTTGTATTTTAATCTCCAAGCTTTAACCAATTTTCCTTGGACCTCTGCCTCCAGAACGGTTCTTCCTATGCCAATAAAGCTTGCAATTGAATGTTTAATTCATGCTATTGTGCAATGATTGTTTCAGTAAAGGGCTTTCCAAATAATGCATTCAATTTATCTTCTATTTTGGTCTTTGGTGTCCATTCAACCATTATAGGTATATGGTCCGATGAATTTGGTTTCAAATAAGAAACTTGAAACCCCAGAAACACATCCACCCATTTCTGTGAAGTTACAACTCTGTCTAATCTTACTTTGATTCCCCCACACCTGGTAGTCACCCAAGTGAATTTATTTCCAACATATCCCAAATCTTGTAATTGGCAGTTTGCAAGTGCATTCCGAAACCCTTCCATTTGGCGTTCACTTTTTATATCACCTCTTTCATGTTCCTCGGCATATAAAATCTTATTGAAATCTCCCATGCAACACCATAGTAAATCTAATTTCCACTCAACCTTTGAAGCAAACTCCATCATTTATGTCTATCCACCTTCGCCGGAAAACCATAGAAGAAAGTAAGTCTCCACTGATTAGCATCGCATATTCTTCCAACCTTTAAGTTAATATGATTTGACGAATACGATCTTAGCAACAAAT